AAAACAAACTCCTATAGATCCACTTTCCCCAATTTCCCTCCGATTCTTTATGAAAACGTCACTTTTGCGGCAGACGATGTACGATGTACACCTGTCGTCTGCGTCAAGAGATAACCTCCATTGTTCCAACCTAGTCGTTATCCGGTGTTAGTGCGTAATTACAGCGTTGTGGCACCTCTCTTATCTCCTACCTGAATAGCTCTCGTGTTTTCATCGAATAATTTTCTTCTATTTTTGCACGTTTTCATTCTTCAAATTTTTCACCTGTCGCTTTTTTAATCTACCTGTATCTGTCATGATGCCCATGAGGTAAAGCATAGATTTATTATTTCATTTTCACCCCGAATGATACCTCTAAGTTTTTCCCATCCTGCGAATGTTTTGCATTAATTCATAATAAGTTAACTGAATATTAAGCTACAAGAAAACATATAAATGAAAATAGGTTAAATATAAGTTTGTGTACTAAGTACGCTGATATTTATTACACGTTTTGCAACGCTTATTCAAAACTCAAAAAAAAAAAAAAAAAAAAAATTCAATTACATAACCAGTGTTCACTAAAGCATTAATAATCAATAGTTTTAATAATAACTATGCCAAAATCGTGCAAAAGCGAGTTTTTCTCTTTTCTTTTTTGCCTAAGATTAAATACCAGACTTTGTAAACTCTTCTCAATGGGCTTCGTGTCCACCGCAACAATAAATACATTTTACAGATTTATCACTGCTATCATCTTTCTTTTCCTCGTGCATGTCACAAAGTGCGCTACAAAGTTCACTTTAGTGTTCATTCAGTGCAAACAACAGAGCTACAATTTATCATCCGCTGCCATGGGTGTTTTATAACTTAAAAAACAAACAAACAAACAAACAAACTTATATAATTAGTATATAAATAGTCAGCTAATAGGGACTTTTGGATAAAATGGATGAAAAAGACGGGAGCCTTTTTCACCACTAACCAGGAGAGACAAATCATAATAATAATAATAAAACACGGAATCTTTCAGAAGATTGAAAAATACATTAAGCTTGTATGTGTCACAGTTACGCTAAAATCCAATGTGCGGATAATGGTTTATAGATTAATCGCCGCATACAAAAATTAAGCATCAACCCAGAACGGAACGACCGGAGAGGAATAATACACGTTTGGCGCTTATCCATTTCTATGCATATGACCCTTCCCTGCCCAGCCTCGTAATGAAAACCAGCTTTATATAAAAACAATTAGACATATACTTTAAAAAAACTTGGTGACTCACCAAGCCGTTTCCGTTTCCTTACTCTGCGTGCCTCTTTCGTATAAACGTTTATGGTTTGGTCTCTCTCTTTTGGGACAGAAGTTCCTTCACAGTTAAATTTCTTCAGTTCAAGGATTCCTTTCTCAAATCAATGGTCATTTGCAGCTGGACATTCGCAGGAAAGCCCCTTACTGGTCACTCGGTGCGTTTCCGCTGACTTCCTGACCAGTATCAAACGTAGTGGACATACGTCCAGTATGTGATGTTACAACAACCCAGGTTAATTCTTTCTAATTAAGATTAAATCCTTACTACTTTTTAGGTATCTGTTTTTGAAAATTGCTGCGTCCACAAGTGTCCATTGATAGCGTCCCAAGAGATGTCCCCCTGTCACGGTGGACAATGTCCAGATGGTGGTGTGAGCGTCCGGGGTCGTGAACGACGAGTACACCGAAATGACCCCCGCCTCGACCACGTACCTTGTCAGTAAAGTGAAGGACTGAGATGAAATGGCTTGATAAAATATGCAGGTAGATGGATACATATACATATGAAATGGGCTGTCGTGCAGGGCGGGTTTTGGGTGCACTCCAGATAGGTACCCCGATAAAAATGGACTCCTGTCGTGATGATAGCCAATTTGCCTTATCCAGGGGGGCGGACCATAATAATGGGACTTTAATGAGAATCCGTGTTCTCTTACATCATTTTCGGCTCCCAGCCCCGCCCCGTTAGTTGACGAGGGGGTTCATTAAGTCAAGCCTGTGTAGCACTGACACGGGAAAGCAGTGATCTTTGGCGACTACCACATCCGCTCCGTCCCGGCTGCGTAACATATACACATCAACGCCCTCCCTTTATTACTATTAGGCCGTTGTCAACCACCAATTCTCTATATTAAAAGCAATCCAGTTCTTGATCACGTCAACGTCTCTCCTATGGTGTGTGGGTATCAAAATAAGTAAAATTGTCCCATCAAAAGTACTGGAATGGTATCACCCGTGCGTCCTCACTGTAGTGGGTCATTTCAAATCTCGTGGTACCAATGTCACATTATTTCGATGCGTGCGCGTCACAGTTGCGCTAGTGAAATGTCAGAAGTCGCTGCACTGGTACGTTTCTGTGATCGTTGCACTTAAACATGTTGGTATATCTCTTCTCTAAGGGTCCCTTTCACACATAAACTGTACTAGTACACGCATTTGGTAAATGATAAGTTTCCTTTTGCATTTAAGAAGATATCAACTCGATTATTTACCATAGTGTCATTCTCTACTCTTGTTAAAATGAGATCAGGTTTTTCATTGGTCGGCTTTTACTCACAGCGCCATCTAGCAACGATGACACTGCAACAGCCAGTAATGGGCAACTCGCATTAAAAACGAAACAATATAAAAACATAGTACTCGGATAGATGGGAGGTAGAAGTATGGGAGCAATCCTCCGTTTCGCGAAACGGAATGTTGGTCCCGGTCCAAGTTCTCCCCTGAAGGAATTGGGAATATTGAGAGCCACAGGATGCTCCATAAAATAAGAGCTGCCAAATACCCCTATTTGCGTAATACGGTATAAGAAGCCCGTTTTAAAAGACAGACTGCAGACTGTCAGGAGATACTAATTGCGGTGCAAAAAAAAAAAAAAAAAAAAAAAAAAAAAACTAAACAGGAGATGTTTTCGCCTTAGGTCTTCCATGTGCTTATAACATTAAAGCTGCATTTATTTTACACAGGCAGGCAGAGAGCAAAGACGAAAACGACAATTTCCTAATTCTATTCAAAATGAAAAAAAACCCCTAAAAATAAAAATAGATAAATGAAAATAAAACTGAAAGCACAGACAGCTAGCCGGAACATGGCGGGTAGTTTTAAGGTAATGATAGAGACGCTTAATTCAGATTTACTTGTACCTCAAATTTTTATGTCTTTTCAAACGTTTTAAATTCTCTTCTCTTCTCTTTTATACTATATAAACACACAGAATATATTGTAAAGCCATGCGCACAAATGTGTTAATGTACATTAAAGACTACTTAGATTATTTCACCATATGTTCAAGTGTGTAGAGGAATTAATCAGTTCTAACTAGACCAACATTTTTCTGCTTTTCTTTCTTGACTATTGAGTTACAAAAACTCTATATCTACATACACGTCATTATTTTTCTCAAAAGACATGGCTATTAGATCTACCTTGGTTATTTTTCTGTTATTTTTTATTGTTTCAACTGATAATTCAACTTTTCATATTCGCTTTTATTACGCTTCCTGAATGTTAAAGATATACAATCCGAGTCTGATAATGTCCCAAATTTATATTTTTATGCCTATCGTACATATTGTCACAGCTACTTATCTTTCCCAATTCAGACCTTAAAAACGATAAAATCCCTCAAATTATAGTACCTTATGTTAGAATTTCCCTTCTGAAATGTACATTAAACATGGCGGTTACAGGGAACTTTAGAACCAAATCTATTAATCAAAAATGGCATAAAACATGAAATCCCAATGCAAGGACGTGTCAATGTCAGTGATTTATGGGTAGGAGATAGTGAATTTTTTTTATTTCAAGGAAAATGTGATTATGCGGGAAGGTCCTGAACAGAAAACCTTTAAATAATATATTTTGTTTATGCGCATCGATAGATCTGAATAAATTATTCATATCTCATGATTAATCAAATCTATCTTTTTCTCAAGAGCAAGGAAAATAAAGACGACAGTTATTCAGCTCAAATGTTAGTTTCTACAGAACGTTCCTAGTTATGGCTCAGGGAGTGCGTTAAAAGTGCCACCTCCAAATATACCTACATGCACATATACCGCATATATACACACGGCATATACATGTATACCGGAATCTGGGCTCAAATGACGAAATTGGTTAGACACATCTCCTCTTACATGTACCTCCTCGCTTCACAATGATTATCGGAGAGAATTTGTGACCACCGACATTAAAATATATGTCACATTGAAAAAATAAAAAAAGAGCCAACCGGCTGAGAATGTATCAGAAAATTCAGCGGAGAGAGAACTAAGTTCCAAACCCCTCTATAAGGATGATTATAGGAAAATGTGTTATGTACCATGAAGTATTCTAAATTTGAACACAGCGTCTTTAACGCGAGACACGTAACGTGCGTACTGTTAAACGTTCAAGGGGATTATTATTATTATTATTATTATTTATTTTTTTTCTACCAGAAATCAGAGATTATCAATGCCACCACCGCCTTTAATTAATTTTTATCGTATTATGAAATAATCGATAATAGTCGACATTTTTCTTATCATCGCTATACCAGTTACACAACTTAACTTGTAGAATTTAGAATTTAAAAAACAAGTGCCTATGAAGATAGCTTTCGTTTTTTCACAATAAGAAAACTTAAGAAAAGGGGGAAAAATTATGAAGACGTGATTGTCTATTGCACAACGAGTTAAAAACGGTTGTGGCCTGCTTTCACTCAATATATCACGATTTATATCAGCACTTTTTTAATTTTGAAAATTTCGTTTGTATTTAAACACTAAGGAAATTATATTTGGTAAAACAACCGGATCTTCTCTTAAAACATTTTAAAGGTCACCTTACTCCCTTTGCCCTTAAGAGCCATATAAAAACTAAATCACAATATTTATGTTTTCAAAATTATTTTTTCAAAATACCATTCTCTTGGAAATTACACTCTAACAAAGAAAAATAAAACGCCTACCTTAAAAAAGGAAAGCTTTCTCCAAACCTCAAAACTTCAGACTATCCCACCACGGTTGACCGCCTTTACCTGAAAATACAAATGTTGTATCCATGTGGGTGGTCTAGGCTAATGAAACACTTAAAGCACTACTTGTCTTTCTGCGACAGACGCTGGGTTTTGTGTTATGACACTGATGTCACTAAAATGATGTGTCGTTATGTTCACATCCCCTCCGCGTCTCCATCTGCGTCCTTTGTACATTGTTAAACTAAGGCGCAAAACAATATACATTAAAAAAAGTACAACGTAGACAGAAAAAAGGATGAGTAAAGCAAGTCGCCTTACTTGTGTCAAAAGTTAAAAAGGTGATGAATTTTGTTATGGTAATGTTTTAACATGAAGAGAATTTTACGTGTGTCTGTAACAGACTATAATGAAAAATACGTCCATGGACACCTAACTGTTGCTTTGGCATGTTTCAAGTTTTAAAACTAACACGCACGACTGAAAATTCGAAAGCCGTTACGAGAGCTTTCGTACAGATAGACCAAGAGAATGTGTTATAATCAACAGCTCTTGTAACGAAATTCAGTTCTAAGTCGTGCGTATAAGTTGTAATGTCCAAGAATGTAAAATATATTTTATAAACACTCAGCTTTCTGGATAGATATAATACACTGTTCTTCACGATCAACTAACTGATGGATGATCATCCGACATTGTTAACAGTGAAGACGAAATTAAACAGACAGTACTGTTACTATTTTTAAAGAATATGCACATCTACAGAAAATAAAATAACAAAACCAAAAACATTTACTTTTCCTCAGTAATTCGGTAATTCTTGCCATCGGCCCGTGTTACTTAAAAAAACCTCAAGGACCACACACATTTTATAGTAACAATCTACAATGGAAAGAGGCTAAATACAAGACAAAAAGTACATGTGTGCCTGGAAAAATGCATTTAAATTGTCAGTTTATACACAATCAGTTTTCGCTGAAATGATGTAAATGGTGTTTCAAATTATGAGAGCTTTTTCCTCTCAAACTAGATTGTTTTAGGTTATAATACATAGTCTTGATGTGCTATTGAGGAGCATACTTAGTCGAGACGATGCATTTCTGTAATCTATTCGTTTCATCTGTTTATTTATTTATTTGTTGGCAAAAACACTGACTGAGACAATGTAATAAACTATGCAACTGTCATGCTAAAACGTAGCTCAATACATCTATTGAATTACATAATGTTGTCAATGTGCGTTCCGTGTTGATTCAGCAATAATTTTTTTTAATTCTGTCAAATCTCTAAACGACTCACGTAATGTTGACAATAGTCAAGTCTATACATAATTATCAAACAAGACGCGCCTCGATAGCAAATATTCAAGTAAATTATTAGCAAGTGGGCGAAAAAATAAGACCGAATTCAGGAACAAAAAAATACGTTTCTATAGTCAAAAAGAACATAAGAAAGAGAGAGAGAGAGAGATAGAGAGAGGGAGTGAAAGGAAAAAGAGAGAGAGAGAGAGAGGGGGAGAGAGGGAAAGGAGGAAATAAAAGAAGAATGTCGTCCATTTTTTGGTGTTATTTAAGCGAACGTGGAAAAGAGAAAAGAAAAAGGAAACACTTCAGACATTTACATATCCATATGATACCAACCCTCTAAAATAGACACACGTCCCGTAGAAGTGGAGGGTAATCTAGCCTCCCTCCCCTCCCTTCCCCCCACAGACCTGCCGTTACCCAAGGCCCCATACATCAAGCAAGTTAAATAACAGGGTAGCGGCTTAATGACCTAGAATAAATGTCTACCACGTTGAGGTAAAAAAACAACCCGGGTCACAAAATTATCGAAACCGGAGCCTGGATCGTTTAAGTCGATGCTATTTTGTCTCAGAATTGAGGGCTACTTAGACACTGAAGATGGTTATTAACGGTCCAGCAAAGAATAAGATAGCCTGGCGGTAAGTGTTTAATACCAGTATTTGAGGATGGTACAGCGAGAGAAAACAAGCGCAGTAGCACTCGTCTCAGTTTATAATGATTACAGAGAAGAACTACGTCTACGTTTGCGCACCTCATACAAATGTGAGACGTAAAGCGCTCCTCTTCGCAGACAGTCGTTAGTTTTATTTTGACTTCCACGCTCATAATACCCAAATAGAGTCGACTTTTGGTTATCATGTTATTTAGAACTGAAGAACGCCTGGTATTTTTTCCGGAGTAATAACTGATATTAAAAAGACATTCAGTCAAACTGAGTGGAAAAGTTATATAGCTTTGACGAATTACTGTCGGCAGACGGCTTTGAAATAGAATAAAAATAAAAAATATGGTCTACCATGAAATGTTATCACACAGTGTATGCGGCACTGGATATTATATTTCTGGAATTTCCATTCTTTCAAAGCAGAATTACATTTTTTTGCTTTACATATTTCTTTTCTTCAGGAGGGAGCTGTATTCCTGTACCATTTTACATGTTTAAGACTTAATCATTTTCGCTAATCATAATGCTTTTCAATTTCGTTAAAATATCTCCTGTATGCTCAACTGTTACAAAAATTATGTAATTATGACCTCTCTATAGCTCTAAATACTGAATACAACAGATATTGCATTGTTACAATGTAACATCTTTACATACAAATAACCCCAGTAAAGAGATTATAAAGATTATACGAGGAAAAACTTAATACAAGTATCCCCGATCCGCGGCATAGATAAAAAGACTTGTGGTTCACCACGACATTAAAATCAGGTAAATAGGAAACAAATATTAAGTGGGGAGTTGACCGATCAGAAAAAAAAATACGATGAAGGAATTTCACAATGTTTTATTATTATTATTATTGAAAGTCATAATTCCCCTCCTCCCTTCGCTTATGCCTTACGTGGTGGTAACGAGTGGTAGCGAACCAGCTCCCCCTCCCCCCCTTCCCCTCGCCCAACATGACTCTTACGCTGATGAAAATTCATATTGTCCTCAACGCGACAGATACAGGATAAAGCATTTCCATTTTCCGTTGCTTCCTGTGCTTATACAATACCAGTTGGTTGCCAAAAGTGCCAAAAGCTCGTGTTCATGGAATTATGACTTTCAATAATAATATGACATTGTGACATAAATTTATTAAAGACCCCGTGAGTTTCAAGTAACAAAAAAAAAAAAAAAAAAAAAAAAAAAAAAACGATGACAGAAATTAAATTTAGTCATGAGTCCGTAATTTTCAGGACAAACGCCATGGTGAATAAGATTTAATTATGACTAAGTGAATTTCAAGGCAAAAATTAGTTATTACTTGAAGTGACTTACAAGTTTCAGGTAAAAACAATGGTGACAGATATTTAGTCATGACTCAGAGAAATTTTTAAATGTAAAAAAAACAAAAAAAAAAACAATAATGGTTTGTACGTGACTATGACTTGGTGAATTCGTCGGGTATCCTTTACCACTGAACATACGTTCCAAAGACAAGAAAAACCTGTGGAGACCGAACAATGTGAAACAGGCAATAACATTTAGTACTTTGATGAAAAAGAAAATGAATTCTCAAGATATAACATGAGACGGTTAAATGGCGACTTAGATAAAGTTTCACGTTTGACCAAAAAACAACGGCGGTATATTTATCAAAGACAGCTTTTTTAATCATTCAGCTTCATTTAATTGCCACCTCGCTTTAATTGAAAGTAATATTATTAATTGTTTTTACAATTAATCTACAACAATTTTGAAAAAAAAAATTGATAAAATATAATCAACGCAGTTGATGGAGACAAATTAAGATTTGAAATAGAATACAATTTTCCGCACACCACACTGGCATAAGGAAAATAATCTTAAATAACATTACACATAAAGTGCACTTATATTTGTGTGTGGAAAAAAGGAAGGGAAAAAAAGGAGAGGAATGATTGAAGATCGAGAACAATTTAACCCTACGCTGCACGTAATATTGCAATGAATCTGAAATCCGAGGTCAAATGACAAAGATCATTTCCAATCTGGCGAGACCTATCAAGTGTAAAATCAATTTCATCTCAACGCCAGTCTTTGACTCCGTGACACCAACCCTCTGCGTCGCTTGCGTGATCTTCGTCACATATTCTGTTAACCCCAATGCTACTCGAGTGCTATTTGTGCGTTATACCCGCAACAACAACGCCTTCGCGAAGATCCTCAAGTTCGCAGAAAAAAAGAAAAGAAAATGGATGAGGGAGTTGCATTTTTTCTGAGATAATTGCAGGACCTGTGGGGTTTCGGTGATTTGTTTGGAGACTCCGATCAATCCACTGAGAAGCCCTAGATCACGTGACAGTCAGGTTTGGTTACCAAGCGATTAATTTGAGGTTCTACAGTTTTATATCTCCAAACCCAAACGTACACTTCGGTTTTAGATTTAGAGATAAACGCCTGTTTTCCCAAATATTCACACTCTCAAGACATTGATTTGCTTAATTACCTATATCAATTATTAAGTATGTTATTCCTGCCCTATACATGTATGTGATACAGCTATATCGAATACTATAACCTTTAACTCACTTATATGTACCCCATGCAGGAACGGATTCAGAGATATTTTCTGACAGTCTTCCAAATTATCTTTGTTTATCCATCCTCCATTTTTGACCGTCTTCCAACAGAAAAAAATCAGATACCCGTCAATGTAAACTAGAAAATCTGACCGTTTTCCGGAAGACCCAGAAGACGGCCTAAATCTGCCCCTGCCATGTCTAATAGAAACATTCAAAGATCAACAACATCCATGTATTTCAAATTAAAGAGCCAATGTATCCATCTATATATATTACATGAACACGTAGAAATACATGAACCCATAAAATGGACACTAAATACGGCAATTTGTGCTTGAGTGACACTTTCTTTGAAAATCATTGATCATCTTTGTACTGAATATACTCTTGTCACTTTTGTAGACTAAATGGATTTAACAACAACATCAACATAACCACTACAACCACCACCACCAAGAACAACAAGAATGATAATAATAATAATAATTGGTAATGATGGTTACACCTGCAAAACAAATAATGAAAATACCTTTAATTGTAAGACTACGAAATCTTATGTGTACTTACATTTACGGTGCAACAATTATAGATGGCAAATGCACAAGGCGACATACATTGTAGGTCCCGTCTTCCACGAGAACATGGTGCATGAATAACGGTAAAATAATCACGAAGTTCGGACAGATGCTTCAAACAATGGTCAGTCGTCGAAATGAGCAGGGTATACTTGTGGGTCAAGGAACGATTCCCATGCTACTTGTGTTACTGCTACAACTAGCTGGCACGGTAGTACATGTATTTGTATAAAAGTCGCGACAGTGTCAATTTAGTTGACGTGTTGAGTCGTGTTTTTGTTCATTCCCACTTGGATGAATTATAGGTCTTCGTTAACGTAGTCTAGGTCAAAGTCCGAAAGCAGTGCCTTACTTTTGCAATGTTAATTTCACAAAGGACGGAGTAGTGCGCTGAGATGAACGGAGGCTACTGCATCTTACTTTTATTTCATTTCATTTCTTTTCTGTTTTGATGTCCATAAATAAGTTTTATTAGGATAAATCGCGGGAATCTTATGAAGAGAACGAATGTGATCTTAAAATGATCCGTGAAATGTACCTTTGTTTTGTACATTTGTTTATTTCCTGTCTAATGTTTAGATTTATGATGTCAACATCAATAATATAGTTGTGGGTAGACGGCAGGGGGCAGGAAGGGGGGGGATATACAGGCCGGGAGCAGTCCGTTCCGGAGGCAATGGACAATCTGTAAACAATAGCTGTGTTCCTCATTTTATTCAAAAATAGATATATCATTCGATTTTCTTGACATCAACAATGAAGCAAAATTTTTTTAAAAAATCCAGATTTTGTAACGAAAAACGACAAAAAGTCCAAAATAAGTAGAAATTGAACCACTAATACGGCAAATTTTTGCAAGTTTTCTTCGATGATACACAATGGGAACGTTGCCTGGGAACTAATATGCACCCAGATTACCTCTGAAAGAACAATGCTACTGTATTTTTTCACTGACGAAATGCATATCATTTGCTAACCCTTGCGTCTATAAAAAGCTGCGGTGCTGCGTCGTCGTCTCCAAACCGGAGCGCTGGCTTTTAATTACATCGCTTACTCAGGTGATTTTACCAGCGAATTGAACGCAGTCATAAATCTTGCAAAGAGCGATTTTTTGCTTGCTTGTATATGTATTCGGCATTCAGATCAAAAATTAATTTATTAATAAATTCATTAATCTATTTATTCAATTTCCATTTATTAATCAATTATCTTATATATGTATTTACGTGCATCTCCACATTTCTCCACCTACATGTACCTGTACAGAATAAGTTTGATAGAAAATACTAACGTCATGCCTTCAACCGTTTTTTTTTCTTTCCACCCTCGATGGCCAAAGACGCTTGAATCCAATATATTTTAGGTAAACTATACTTAATGGTTTTGCCCCAAGAAAATCTGATCAACACATACACTAAGTATATATAACAAATAATTGAAATCCCCTCACCGTTATAAAGAATCATATTCCGTTAACTTCTTTATTCTTTCTAATTTCACATTTTCCAATTATTTATATATTGTAACTTAACTGAATTTGGCTTTCTGTACTGGGCAATGAGAGCAAAGGACCAAGGAAACCATGGAAAATGAAGCAATTCACAAATGAAAGTATCATACCGTTTTATAATTAGTTGACGATAAAGTATTCTCGCGAAGATTGATCGGTATGTTTATGCTCAAGATCCGTTTAAAACTGAAAAATAAATAAATAAAGACTGTCAATTTATATAACCTACATAGTAGTAATTGTCTTTTATCATCTCGAAGTTGGGTCAGATTGTTGACATTGTGACGTTACGGTATAATCTTTGCCAGTGTGAAACTGTGACTAATTGTAAATACACAAAGTTACTCGCGTCCTGCTGTAGTAAGGTCCTTTTAACTGCTTTGGTGTCTATCGTCTGTCATCCATGGCGCAGCAGACGACAAGCTGAGGTCCGCGTCTCTCAAAAAACAAGTTAGAGGCGGCAAATGAGCGCACTTTTATCGCAACAGTCTCGTTACTATGAATTATTGGTCATCGGCCCGGTTTCATGTGTAGTGAAGCCATTTGCCTTCACCGGGCGATTCAGTCTGTTTTCTTGAGCAGACGATAAAGAACTCTTCTTATTTCTTTTGAGGCATTTTCGGCAATATTTCGATAATTTCGTTGAAAATATGCATTTGGCATGTCAATACGGTTTGATAAATAAAGTCACATACACGTAGGGGGCGTTTACTATCAGATGGACCAAAGTACACTGAAATGTTCAGAATTACTCAGAATTAAGTCAAAGTTTCGATTGTGAAACCGTGTCCCAAAACGATCACAATTCCATCACGAACGGCAGTTTTAATCTGATACAACCAAGTACAATTATTGAGTTAGAAAGTGATGGATTAAAGAGAATGGATGCTGTAACTGATAGAGATTAATGCCTGTGTCGTCATACTACGACTTCTGGGGCTGTGATAGCCTTGCAAAGATGGCGCCAAGGAAGGCAGTTTTCAATTTCAATTTGTCGAGCACAAAAAATGACCATACACGAAGGTCCATGAAGACGGTAATTTCATCACCAAATAATCACATGGGTGTCAAAGTTACTATTCACGATGCCTATAATCTTAGGTATAAAATACCATCGGTAAAATATATATTTATCTAAAATGTCCTTTTATAAATGAAAACAGCCCATGGCAAGTTGCATGTGGCCCCGCATATCTAGGCAAATCCCAGACGTTTCGTTTGCACTTTTATATGGTTTTTATTGCTACTGAAATAGAACCCCCCTATTTATTTCGTTTTTGCAACATCCTCAATATATTCCATTAAATCTGTGACCAAACACAACAGCAACAATGTAACAGCAAGATTCTAAGGATTATTAGAGGATTATTAGAGATATTAAATTTTAGGGATAGAGCTCGGAACCAACCTGCGGTGAGGAACCAGCCCAGATTCCATTTCTGCAATATCAGAGTGAAAAGTAAGCAACAAACTGCGTGTACGTGTAGGCGTTCACGTCATGAAGAATAAAATTTAAGGTTATTCATCAATTAACTTCAAGGACTAAACGTAACACCACATGCACAGCTCTGAATGTAACAGTAAACAGGGGTAGATCCAGAGATATTGTCTGACAGTCTTCCAAATTATCTTTGTTGTTTCATTCTCCATTTTTGACCGTCTTCCGACAGAAAAAAAATAGATACCTGTCAATATAAACTTTAAAAACTGGAAGACTCAGATGATGGCCGTAGTCTGCCCCTGGTAATAAATAAATAAATAAATAAATAAATAAATAAATAAATAAATAAATAATATCCTTGAGATACGCCGTTTATATCTTCAGCATGTTTACATTATCACCAACTTCCTAACTTAAATTCAAATCATTTTACTCGTGAACTGTCATTCATTCAAATTAAAATGTATTATTATTATTATTATTATTATTATTATTATTATTATTATTATTGTAGTGATGATAGTCTGACATACAATACTTTTGTTTTTTTCTAAAATATAACAGAATCGCTTCTCCAGTTTCGATAATAAATCACGATTGACTAAAAAAACAGCTTTTCTATTTACATTATAAAACATTGCTTGACTTAACGATGGAATAAAAAGGGGGGAAGAAAAAAAAACTAATAAGACATCTACTTAAAGAACGATTAAATGCACAATTATCAAAAAAATCATAATGACTACTACAGAATATATCTTCAGATTCAGTTCCCCAAGAGCTTTAATTTGATCAACGTTTACTTACATTAAGCCGGGCAGGTCGCTTTTCCTCCAAAGAAACGTTCAGAAATCCCGCCCCAGTTACTTGCCCAGCTGCGCCAAATTTCTCTGAAATAAAGAAAAAAGACAGCCACGTCAGGACCGTGTGTTTCATCCTAATACACTTTTCCCGTTACTCGTGATAACGGGGCACTCTTTGAGCACGCCGACCCATGAGCATACGTAATTCAATTCCCGGGGATGGTACATCCATGCTGATTGAGTGTTTGGGATTGGTAATCGGCGTCAGGAACAATACGAGCCGTCTATGCTGAAAAATAAATCTACTTTAATTTCTGGGAGATATTACTCACATTTTATTAATTTAACTCACATTTATCATCTGTAGATGAGACAAGATGCAACGCGACGCGCGCCGTCGTTAATCATGAAATTGAGCTAATCTCGTTCCCCCGAGCCTTTCGCGCGAGATTCCAGGACTAGACATAAATTCTATAAATTTAACTGTCATACTTTGGCCCAATAATAGAGATAATAAACTTGGGTAGACCCAGTAACATTTTGTGGTTCAAATATTTCCGTCTACATTAATTAATTTGCATTTATCCCGACTGTTCACTCCAAAAATAATTTTATTTAATTAAAAAAAAATTGGAGGACTGAAATTAAATTAAAAAAAAAAACATGAAAGCCTTTTCATGTTGGTCAAGACTCCTCAACGAACAGTGAAGATTTCCAACATGTCACGTTTCTTTCATAACACCAAGTGCCTTGAATATTTACTGATGTCTACTAAAAATTACATTAATCATTAAATATAGATTGAAGGAAATTACAAACATTTTGTAAAGAGACTAAGCAAAAATCGTGCTACGTGTTTTTTGTTGATATATGTACGAAGTCAATAGCTACCAGGGCTACAGAAATTATTATTTACTTAGTATTTTAAGTTCTTAACCTGGGTTCGCTAGCTGGGCACTCTTCTGTCCAGTGAGATTTTTTTCACAACAACGTCATCACCCTGGCCCATAGTATATTACTATAAACTTAACTTATCTATACAGTGTATGAAGCAGGTTCACAACAGAGCGTTATAACTAAGTATTACTTCAAATACTGTTAACAAATGCATTCAACCAAAGTGGTATTATATTTTATGTAATGTTGCGACATAAAATGTGCGTAAGTATTGAAACCCCAAAGAAACGCCCTGATTTAATAGGTTTTTTTTTTCGGAAAGCGGACAAACGCCCTTTGCATTTCTGAGAAAATAAATCACTTCAGGTTACTTCCAGAAGACACGAAAAATTAACAAGAAGGACACCAACAAGAAAAAAAAGACAGCTGCTGCAGGCTTTAGCGTGACCGCGTCCATCTATCTTAATAAGCGTTTGCCTTTTGGTTGCCATGCGGGTCCGCGACGTCGGAGCGTTAGTGTCCCTCACGTTTCATGCACGGCTACTCCCTAACGTCCGTCGCCCGTATCAAAGACTTAGGACATGTCACCAGTGAGACATGGACCCGAAGGTATAATATTTTCATGTGATTTTGCTTGCCTTCTTTGTCTGGAACGTTTTTACTCTCCTTTTCCTAACTTTTGTCGTTCTTCTTTCTTTCTTTCTTCCTTTTCTTTTTTTTTTTTTTTTTCACATACCGGTGTCTACTATTCCATATTAAGACATGCGTAGCAGCAAGTACCAAAAGGTATGTAAATATTTCGACCATGTTTTGAAGATATTTTTAATATACAAAATCTGAAGGAGATCAGAAAGAACAAACAGATGGAATAAATACACCAGAATTATTCATGCCACATACATGTACTGAAAATGTGTTTTATCACTTCACTGGGAGCTGATTGGTGACTTGTCAAAAAAGAGGAAAACGTACAAGCAAGCTGGCAGTTAACCAAATCTATCATAAGATTAAAGAGCTGCGTACAAAAACACGTATCCATACATATTGTGCAGAATTGTAGAACTGTAGAACAGTCGCGGCAGAAATTTATAACACTGCTTTCCTTTGTTTTATGTCAAAATCGAGATGGCCCCCTAATATCGTCACCTAAAGCTAATACTGCCACACAAAAAGTCAGCAAGTTCGCGTGAGAGCACCGATTAACCCCGACAAGTGCGCTGTTTACGAGTCCTTAGAATGTGCTTTTTCTCATCAAGCTGCCCGGTGACAAATACGGTGTCACCGTTTAAACATCAGAAGGTTGTCACAGCATCTTGTCACCACTCTGAAGTGGGTAAGTCAGACAGCACACAGGAGTCTGTCACGATGATCTATGACACGGCTCTTCTTTGGTGACACGACGTTTGTGGACAATATTTATGCCTTAGATTTTTAATATCATTGTAAAAGTTATGGTGAAAGAATTTTGTGCATGTTGGAAATGTGCTGTCCCTCAAACAAGAGTGGGAATGCATTATACGTTTGCATTCGCAGACTGGTTAACGGTTCTAATTTGGAGCCTAATGAAGCAGTGTGATTGCTCTCATGGAGGCACTATTGATTGTGAACTAATTCATTTTTATTTGCCAAAGTTATCCCGACACTTTAGTATCCTGTATGAGGTACATGAAGCGGTTCATTATTTAGAAGTAAAATAATAATAATAATAAATAATAATCCAGACATCCTTTTCTGGAATGTATATTATGCGTACAACAGGGTTCGGTTCTATTTTTGTTGGGCCCAAATTAAATTCCTCCTTGTATGTATGGAATACCAATTAATGTTAAGAGGGCTTTAACTAAAAAATGAAAAAAATATAGAGTTTCTCATAAATAAACACTGATATCTATATCATTGTCAAATTTTCACCACGAAGAAGATCACAACTTGCTGTGGGCAAACTAAGGACTAATTTTGGGATTTAGCTACGTCCCATTATAAATGTCAATGTTTTATGAATTTTCTTTGTGAGTGAAATCATTTGTGACTACAAGATGCACTGTATGTGTCGTGATTGCAAGTGCAATATTTATTTTAGATTTTAAAGAATTTTTTTAATATATGTACATTATACACAGTATTCACCCCTCGATGCTACAGACAACATACATTTACAAAATATTCCTCATTTTTTTCTTGCAAAAATAAGCTTATTTTACAATAATGATTATTTGCAGATTGAAATCTTTTTTCATTTTTTTTCTCTCTAAATATTTATTTCGTAAATTTATGAAGAAGTTCCCATAACATTTGAAAACGTGTTGTTTCAATGTTGATATACCATTCGAAAATGTTATGAAGTTGTGAACCATCACTCGACATCCTACATGTAGGTCACGTTGCTTTCTTCTTCCTCCTCTTGTTTACAGAATAAAGATACAATGGCAAAAAGCAACCAACCATTTCAAGTCATTTCAGGTGAAACGATTTCTGACAAATTATGACAAATAATACATACATAATTAACCAAAAAATGCTGGCCCATCTGGAAAATAATTGCACATACACTTAACCATACACACGTCGCTCCCCTGTTTATTTTGCTTATGAAGCGTGGATACATCTACGCGGGCCCGTTATAAGAATTAGAACTTTTTTTATACTGTATTTATTGACAGCGCCTTTCCCTAGAGAATTTGCTAAATTTCCAGGCAATAATGTACTTTCACGACGGCCTTGACTTCTAGTGTATATTCAATTCAATTTATTCCAGTACTACTGCAGGCATTTAATGACCTTGTACAATATAGAATAAAGTATTAGGGAAACGCCTTTGAAGTAGAATTAATCAAAAGAGGAGAGGCAATAAATGCCAAATTTTGGGAAGAGATCATCCTGTACCATCACTTTGTACGTAAAACCAATATCACTCTCTTTGATTATCTAGAGCAAAAGTGAAAAGTTTATAGTCATTGATTGTTGATATATATTACATATGCGTACACCAACATATGACAAAATGGACAATTGATATAGTAAAGATAAAACGTTTGTGCAAAGCTTATTCCCAAGATATGTTCATGTATGTTTTTCAGGGATTAAATGAATATAATGTCAAAAGTAGTTCTGTGTCTGGAATCTTACCGTTTTTATTCTAATTCGAATTGCCTAATATCCAGTATTTTCTCAAATAAACAACAATAAGCTGTGACATTATATGTCTTTCAGCAAACAAAAGGCGGAAGTAATGCGTGCCATCACCGACAATATGTATAAAGAAAACTTGACTGGCGTGGACTTGATCCCGGAAATGGTATCGGCGCACCAAAGTGTACAGTGATCACCAACATAATAAAGGGTGAAAAGTGAAAAAAAAAGCTTCATTTTGTTGATAATTGAGCGAATATGAAACAGGTTAACATCGTTCAAGCAGGAAAAAATTACCAAATAAAATCAATCGATAAACTTTGAACTATGTATTGCAGTCAACTTCAATAATGTATTAGCCCATGGGCATAAACAACAAATCACACACCGAGGGATTTTATTCTAAAGAAGGAAGACATTGTATTTTGTTTATCCCGAGCAAAATTCTAAACTTGATTTAAAAATCACGTCAAGGTATCAATAAATGAAGACATTAAAAAAAAAGCACATTTGATATTTTGGCATTCATGTACACGCTTCGAATTCCTCTGAATGGAGTATTTCGCACCAAAACTGCACCACTTAAAATCTCCAGGTTCCATTTTCAGTTTATTGTGTATGATCCGTATCTAAAAAAGAAACATTTGGTATATGGTAAGGTTTAATTTAGTGGGACACACTATGTTCAAAACAAATATACATGCATCTTTCATTCAGGTAAATCAAAGGCGACGTCTGGCTGTCATATTACTGCCATAACACGTAAGACAACACAGTCGCATCCGAGTAGTATGTTTCTACAGGTATGTCAGTTTACGATTCTGCACTCAGTGAACCCGTCACTTTTGACAGGTGTCAAAACCTTGCACCGAGAACCCTTATCCTTACGGCAGCGTGCGACAGATGAGAGCGAAGAACCTTTTGTGGAGAATTCGTGATGAAAACGAAAAATGCTTTATTTCAAGCCGGTCCATACACCGGGACATACTGCCCTGTATTGTTCCTCGCCCAAACACCCCCTGATCTTTGCTCATAACCGAATATTTGGGGTCTAGCAGTTTGGTGATTGGGTTACGGGGTGAGTTTTGACATGCGAGAGCTGTCAAAATGTTGGGGTTCACACGGTACAAATACATCACTGATAATGTATCTTACTACCGTGGACGAGAACGCTATCTCCCAAGAGGATCTACCGAAATTGTCCAACGCCGATCCTGGAGGGGGTGATATGGGTTGGTTGAACTCGGATGTGCCTTTAAAGGAATTGTTTTATTTATTGTCCGATCTTATCTGGGTGTTTGCGGTTGGCTCTGTGGTTTCAGATTGGTTCTCTGATTTTTATAACTACCGGGTGCTTTGGTTATTTGATCAAAATATACGACCCATTGCCTTCATCAGAAACGAACCATACAAGTACATGTATCTGTGGCTTTGATTTTTCCCACGCTTTCAGTTACATCATGTGTACCCAGATCTTACATTATTCAAGCGTGACAATCAAATATTAGGAGAAATATGGGAAATATAGAAAACTGTTTGTTAACACATGTCTTGAAGAAAATAATACAGTCAGTGATTGCATATCCCACCACACAATCACATGCAGATTTTGGGTTTGAAATTCTTGTTTTAAAGGAAGCTAGTATGGATACAAAAAAATTTAGAAATAATCATGTAAAAAGTAATCCAGTGCGAAACGAGATCATCATAAAAGCTGCATGAAGTCAAACATTCTCCTGGTTGGTTGATTGATTAATTTATTGAGCACTGAGTAAGGTAGAGAGCGACGGAGCGACAGAAAGAGAGAGGAACGAGTAAGCCAAATAATACAAAACGCCTTAATTTCTCGGCAAACGCACTGCATGACACCACAATAACTGTACCCATTGTTTGTGCACCGGAGGAGGCAGGGCAGCCCCGTGCACCCTCCGGTCTCACTGTCACTATCACACACCAAGTCATCCCGATTGAATAACACGGTAAAATGAACTCCGCTGTGTAATTATCTGAGAGGTCACTTAGGTGTGATGAGTGGTCTTTGGCCTGAGAAGGAATGTCCAACAGCACTGACCTATTGCAGTATGAGTTATCTACTAGGACAGGCACGGGCTGGTCAGTCCTTGATCCTTCTACTGACCAATTCNCACACCAAGTCATCCCGATTGAATAACACGGTAAAATGAACTCCGCTGTGTAATTATCTGAGAGGTCACTTAGGTGTGATGAGTGGTCTTTGGCCTGAGAAGGAATGTCCAACAGCACTGACCTATTGCAGTATGAGTTATCTACTAGGACAGGCACGGGCTGGTCAGTCCTTGATCCTTCTACTGACCAATTAGCTGTGTAAAAGCGGTTCCTGTGGCCTAAAGTGTTGTTCTCGTAAAGGATGAATTATTGCTTGGTGACATTTGGAAATTTGACACTGTTATTGCAGTTACGTATAGAACATACGACAGAGAGTAAAATGAGTAACAAAGAGCAAGGTATTCTAAATTATATTATATTTGGCTCAATGCCCTAAAGTCTGGAAAGAGCATGAATGAGACAATTGCAATTTTATTGTGGTCGTGGGAATCGAGACATGATACACTGTAAAAATTTCATTTAGCATTTTCTGTGATAATCGTTGAATAAATCCTCATGCTGTTTAAATGAGTGAATCGAATCAGTTTTGAAGATGGCAGCTTATTTGTTAAAAGAAAAAAGTACAGAAGGGATACTTAATAAAATTGTTTTGTTTAATACCGGTACGTTTAGCATATCGTCAGTACCTGTAACATACCGTGAGTATTGAGTTACGAGCTGTTGGATTCAGGACTTAGGGTTCAGGGGGAACAGGTGTTGGGATGGCGCGTAGAGGCAAGTTGGGGGGGGGGGGGCTGGCTGTCTTCCTTGAGAACCAGGGATTAGCTCGTTGGCCTTCGCATTTGTCTCGGACCTTCTTCACAAAACGATTAGGTCAAACATTTATTTAAAAAAAGAACGCCATCTTAAAATTTTAGCCAAGATGTACGTGACCGTGATACTTAAAAATGTTTACCTCGTTTTAAATATGCCATTAAAGCGAACTGTGATCGTCTTTAAAAAAAAAATGTGACAATTGGCCGTTTTGGACCACCAATAACGTTTACTGCGGGGATTTTGTTAGCAAAATGCTCTTAAAAACAATATTACAAAGTCGAAGCAACGTGCTTCACAGTGCCATTTGATTTTAGCATTCTAAGATAAGTACAAAAACTATAGATTTTTCTTAATTTTGAAACAGGACCCATTTCTGGCGAGGTCGTTTCATTTGCCCTCCCTGTTCTGATTATGGCTTTCACTGTAGAACGATGGCGCTGCCATCTAGCGACAGATACTGACATTACCAGTGTTTATATACAGTCTAAAAAGATTTAAAAAATGACAGAGTCAAAGATAATATGTTGGCAATAAGGCAGCCGACAGCTCTTTGCACCCTGTACAAAAAGAAAGAATGAGTAAATAATGAATCTAAGAATAAACCATACATACACAGAAAAAGAGACAGAATGAAGAAATTCAAATTTATGATTAGCTTACGGTAATATGGGGGAATATTTGGGGAAATGTGAACCTAAACGAGTCGCAATAAGGAGCATATACTTTATATGTAAATCATTCGACGGGTTACCTTTACACTACGGCTGACGGTGATTTAACGCCGTTTTCCATGAAATATTACGGCTAGCCTTTTCACAATGCTAGTATCAGAAACAAAAATGTACTAACGCGGCATCTCATTTCGAAGGGAAAACAGTTTTCTAGGTAATGACACCAGTATCGTGGCTCATAAAACCAAAACCTCAAAACAAATAAATAAATAATGCCGGCATATGTAATTCAGAATTACTTAAAACGTCTAAAGCCTACAGCTTATAGCGCTATTAGTGATAATCACCAAATGACGTTTCCATATTTTCGACTACTGAACCTATGTTGTCATGAAATGTTTTTAGTCAAATAATAATAATAATAAATAAATAAAAATAAATAAATAGAAATTAAAATAAATAAATAAATAAATTCAATTTAGGATGGCATTCGCTTAGGGATATAAGACGGGCAGAGTTTGTAGACGTGCGTAAACGGGGTTGGGAATCAGGGCTGGGAAACGCGCTGCGTTTTACGTGCGTTTTCCCTTGACAACATGGGCGAACATGTTCTACCTTCGTGCGATCGCTTGTAGGAAGTCCAAAAACGTAAAAAGGAAGTGACGTGTAATTGACAATAATAAGCGGTCTTTATTGCTTTGTGTGCTTATAGTACAGTATATTCATATTAGTTGTGACATTTAATTCGAGCTTCATAATTAATGGAACATTGGCATGGTTCTTTCTGAAATGGCACTGTATCCTGGAGACTTGCTAATACTGTGCTATGTACAGTATGTTAAAATTAGTCGTGACATTTATTTCGAACTTCATAATTTATCGAACCTTGGCAGGGTTCTTTCTGAAATAACTCTCTATCCTTGAGATTTGCTAATACTGTAATAAGTAGGGCCTACGTAAAAATAAATAAATAAATAAAAAACAAATAAATAAATGACAAATAAATAAATAAATAAATAAATGAAATTAGGTCCAAAGCAACAAAATGAAACATTTGCCTCTAACGATGAAATGTATTGTTATACAGACCTGCGATTGAAGGTGCATGTATAAGTAGATAGTGGAACATAAAAATCGATAGTTTCTAGAGTGGGTTTTGAGACCATAGCGATAAAAAATCTAAAACCTTTATAGATCGTGTTAGTGAATTGTCATTTTTTTCTTTAAAAGGAAGTTAAAAGAAGTAAGAAATCTTTAACGATGTGCCAACAGATATACAGAACTTAAAAAAAAGATGTTTTGTTTGTTTGTTTGTTTGTTTGTTTATGACCTGGAACAGATATTTTCTTGCTGAACATGCAATAAAACGTACAATATTTGCCGCGAAACTGCACGTGTCACCCCTTTTTTCGGAAAATTAATTTAGATATTTGTAGCAAATGTTGAGAAAAGAAAACAGAAAAAAAAATGTTTTTAAATCCCACAACATTTCATTTATTGGCGTCTATCACTGATGATTATAATAATATAATATAATATAATATAATATAATATAATATAATATAATATAATATAATATAATATAATATAATATAATATAATATAATATACATCAAATAGTAATTGTTATCTTTCATTGTTATGCAGTTTTTTTTAAAGATAATTTTCATCTAATGATATTCCATGGAGACAGTCTAAGATTTTTGAAAAAGACAAGGAGGGAGAGGGAGAGGGCCTCCAAACTCTACAGCAATGTGTTATCAACACGGTGCCTCCCTGGATCGTTTAATCCAGTTATTTTTGCACAAAAATAATGATAAAATTCAAATAAATTACAACAGGCATATGGCATGCATGCATGATGGCAACCAAGGGTATTCTTCTGTAAATAAAATTGCCAACAATAGCACTATTTCTTCCTTTCTGAATAAATTAAACATGGTTAAGTTTTTTCTTGGTGTTGGTATTCTCTCTATTTAGGGTCCTCCAGTTTGCCTGGAGCTTCAAACGCTCCCAAACTAAGGGATGTTGGGGATAGTGCGACATTACATGGAATATTGCGATACTATAGCGCTCTTTACAAAGCTCATTCTCCCGATTCTTTTGGGGGCTTTATTTTGTAAGAAAACGAGTGGTTAGATTTGTTATTTTGATTTTGATTTTGTCAGAAGATAGAACATAGTTTTGGGCCATGAATAAGTCAAAACCGCCATATGTTTTCTACAGGATTGGTCTGTATCTGCACATACAGTTGATATGGATGTTACATTGTTTATTAAGAAATGTAAAAAAATAAATAATAACCAATACATAACTTACCAATCGATGCTTGATGTATTAAATTCTGCCTTGTACTGTTAATTACAGAAATTCTGCTCGAGAAGTTCTTTTTTCTCAAATCCTTTTCGCCATTTTCAACCGATATGGTGGAAGATGAGAGCCCACAATCAGCAATGGCGCCAAGCCAATCACGCGGATCTAGGCGCCTAAGTGATCGATCGTCTGCCGGTTGACCTGCAACTGAAGCACACAGGATAGCGCAATAAAAACCAGCAAATGTCGACTAATGCAGGAGAAAACGACTGCTCGAGGGCTCACTTCTCTTTTAGATATGATAAACCAGAGGAGGCGTGGCTTGATCACATGACCTCTTCACGATTGATTGTCTGCTGCGGAATCAGGAGCGCGAGCTGGCTTGCGATTCGACAGACGACAGCTCGTGGGGGTTATAAGTTCACGTAAGAAATATTTAATTGCATAGACTCACTGCCTAAAAGAAATTGTTCCTTTAATGCCAGCGGACGTGTGCATTGTTTAAATTGTGTTACAGAGATGATGCAGAAAGATACCCAAATTCATTCAAAATGGTAGAATTCAAATGACATTTATACAAAGAGAATAATGTACTACGTAGAAAATCAGTGTATCAGTGCAAAAGCGCGATTGGAAATAAAATAATTTTACCTATACCATATCGGCCAAACATTGCTATCATTTTCGGCAATTTTTCGAAAATTGAAACTAAACCATATCGGTTGCCATGGTCGATTTATGACATATGTTAAAATATTATGAAAACACATATGCTGCACAAAAGAGCATTGAAGTAAAAACAATAAATTCGAAAGAAACTCTTTAAAATCTTGTCAATCTCGATTGGTTTATAATCCCATGCTTGTATATCATAAGCTCATTATTAGATCTTCTAAAATAAACTAATCTGAAACAAATTAGAGCCTCAAAATATCAAAAGAAGTACCGATATCTAAGCAATCCGTGCTAGTGTCTGTAAACAAGATGGCCGTAAACAAAAGCATCCCTTTTTTATTGCCCGCTTTTTGTTGTCATTTGAATGACATTGTATGGTATATTATTCAAACACTGGCGCGAAGTAGGATTTTAGCTCGCTGTGAGTGGCCGTAAAAAGCATCAAATTTAACACCGATTTAGGGTCGGGTCATGTTATTTTGAAATACACATTCAAGGTGCACGTGATTCTCTAAGTTTGCCTCATGACATTTGACATGAAGTGAACCGATTTTATTCTATTCCTTATATTAATACAGCATGATTGTATGCGTATATTCCTAGTTTTAAAAAATTGATGTATTTGGTTATCTTTTGCTTAAGGTACTATTCGTTCACTCACATTAGTAAGATCATTGCCCATCTGCCTAAATGATCAAATTCTAACTGTTAATATTTGTGAATAGATACCTTAAACGGCCATTCTTCTCAGCAGTTGTTTATTGTTCTATAACATAAAAATGAAATTCTGTTTCGAAGAGTCTATTTCATGGCGCCATATATTTCAATGATGATTCCAAAATTTCAGATGTTCTTCATCATTTTACCCAGCGTTGTATTCACTTTCAATCTGACAGCAAAGTATATAATCGAATTTTCGCATATTCTGATAAATACCTTGCCTTCTTCCCAAATTTGTTAAATATCAGGGATGCAATTGCTTTGATTTCTGTCAAGCAGCGTAAAGGTTACCTGGAAAGAGTGGACTTTAGAGATTCTAAATCACGTTTGGGAATTTTTTTTCAGACTAAGGTCGGCCTTAACTGCCTCTAGGATGTAAGAAATCATTTCCTTCTTTCACCGAACACTGGGGTAAAATCAGGTGATTTGTGTCCGTAAAGGGAGACGAAACGCAACAAACTCAAGTAAAGACGTAGGCTTTACTAGGAAACCAAGGCGATTTGGGCGTTAGCAGGCACGTACATTTCCATTTGGTTTTTCAAAAATAGCGTTTTCCTATCAATTGAATATTTCCTTGTCAATTTCTTTAATTGATTAAGTGTGGTTTTGTCGAATACATCAATATATTTGCGCATTTTATTTGTTTCATTTTTGAAACATGGATGACTAAGCTATAAAGTAATCGGTTTAGTGTTTAAACAGCACACATTGTCATATTTGTTTCTTTGTTATTTAATAGACCAACTGAGTCTGTGTCAATTAACTGATTGCAATTAAGTTCGAAAGACGGTATTATTTCTGTCCAGTGCATGACACCGCCGTTTTTCTGCCCACAAAAATCGCCCTATTCTTTCAATGCATAGATACGCACGCTGAACAATTGCTTTTCATACCATCCAAGTGCAGAAAATTTGCCCATTTTTTTTTTCTCAAAAACGAAACCCATCAAATCCCCCAGAAGACAGCTAAGAGAGCGAAAGCCACATCAATCACCAGTCAAACCTGACAGTTCTGGAAAATGAATAAAAATGATCTGTGGTATAATTAATGGTGCGCTCCATCAAATGAGCAGACGATCGGCATCGCGCGGCGCTCCCTGATATCTCCCTGGTGCAACCCGGACAATGTTAATTTGAAAAACAATACATAAAAGGGTCTTCAGTAATTTTCAGACTGGAAGAAGATAAAGCCTAAGTGTTCTAATCGAACAACAAACTACGAATTAAAACGTCAAATACACTGAGCGCGTCGGTTGTGTGACGTTTTATTTGCCCTGACTCTGGATATGCAATATGCCACACACGTGATGCTTGCGTTTCACCCCCGTGAGATAGTAACTATGAAATATGGCCCATTTAGATGGCTAATTATGCATACTTATCGACTAAAAAGGAACAAAATTGTGCAATTGAAGCGAATGATAATAACTCAAATATGGTTGCATTTGAAGGCAGATGTGGGAGTATAATCTCTCTCTCTCTTCAAAATTGGCTTTACATAAAAAAGGCAAAATAAACTCACATTACAGATATGGTTCGACATTTCCGTTTGAAATTAAGCCAAATTTGATTTGTTTTATCGGGTTAATCTTTTAAATGTTATGCTTACGTATTACTATGCTAAAATTCAAAGGATAAGTTCGCAGAGTCCCATAGTAGCTCCCACGTATTCTGTAGCACCGTACTGTGTGTGTGAGAGAGAGAGAGAGAGAGAGAGAGAGAGAGAGAGGTGATGTTAAACTTGCATTCTGGACTAAACGTAGTGAAACGTGCATCAATTATTGTTAAAATTATTGTTAAAATGCTTTGAATTTCTTTATTTGGCGAGTGGGAACGAAAAGCATAATAAATCATTGTCATGTAAGACACAATTCAATTTAAATTATTTACAAGTCTGCTGAATCTTGAACGATTGTCCCGTGTTCATGTTAAAATATGAGCGTCATTTATTTATTTATACATCTTTTACAAATAATGTTATTAATCCATTAATAACTTTATCCTTTTTTATAGTCAGTCATAAATTTATTCATATATTATGCAGCTGCTTGGTATTTTCAAATATCTATCCAGCTAATTCAAATACAAAGAAGCGCGCTTAGTATCATGAATATTAGCAGTCATATCGGAAAATAAACAGACTGAATAGCTAAAAAATAGCTCCAGCTCTCTTGATCGGCGATGCCAAAGCCTACTATAAATATTTGTTAAAAACTATGAAAAAAACTAGTAAAAAAAGAAATATAAATAATTAAACACCACAAAAATTCTTGTCGAGTTGATATCTAAGGGTTCTGAGATGTTTTGCGTGAAACAAAACAGTTCCTTCTCATTTTTACGTGTATAAATAGATGCATTCATGTAAGTGCATATTCATGCAGTTTTCATTGCCTATAAAAAATACGAAAAATAATAATAATAATAATAATAATAATAATAATAATAATAATCTGCAAAGTTCGTCCTCACTCATGCGTTTTGATTTTCGTTGAGATCTCACACTTGCCCATAAATACGAAATTTCATGTTATTTTGCATAGATTCGCATGAATATCCTATAGTTGAATTAACTAAAATATTCCAATTAATTTTGTGAAAAGTTTCACCGAAAAGTGACGTGGTGTCTGTTAAAAAGCATCTGCAACATGGAGATGTTAGAAATTTAACACACTCCTTCTCCAGCCCGTCTTCAAACCCCAAAACTCATGATCAATCAAACACCGAGAATTTATTCATCTTAAATCTGTTTCATGATTTGTTTTCCTATTTTGATATTTTTTGTGACCTCATGCCTTGCTATTATACACAAAGGCACTCAAGCAAAGTTCCCACTGTGTTAAACTAGACTGGAAATATCCACTGACAAGAGAACCAAAAGGTCTCGTGCGATGAGGGAGAAGTCAATGAATATGTGGACTGCCCAAGAGATCACCGAAAGACCCTTTTTAAACTGTAACAGTCCTGATTACGATTTTTTTCTCACGTTGAGCCCATGTAGAAAACGTGTGCCGACATCGCCGTTAAAAAACGTCGATTTTTGAAAGGTCACAGATGACGTGCAGCTACTGGACCCGAAAATTAATCAATTCCAGATATAATGTTACGTCTCAAGGCGATGCCTCAGACACGTTAATGCATGCGGCTCTTGCATGCTTCTCGCTGTCTTTTCGAGTCAATAGACAATGCCGAAAGAGGGTTGACATTTCCAGAGCTATTTTCTTAAAGACGGCATCGCACGACGGGCTGTCAGATGCTCTTGCGTTTGAAAGTCAAATGTAATATCGCCAAACTTCCATTAAGCTTCGACGCAAACCGATTTCACTTCATGACAAATTCTTCTTGATTTGTTGGTAGATTTTCATCTGTAAAATTACAGAATGCACGAGAGCAGGCTTTTATCTTGATTATTTTACTTTCAAGATAATGCCAGTCTTAGATTTTCGTGATAAACAAGTAAAAACGATTCTAGTTCGCCGCGCAATGTGCAAAATACATATAAATGTAGTGAATAAAATAGTGTCATTTGTTTTTAAACATCGGATACATTTATGTTAAAAGAAGTCAGTGTTTTCAGTGATGCATCTCTGCGACTGCACTATACACATTTTCTGTCATTGCTCAGTTTTATTTAGAAATAACATTTACTCCGATTTTTTGGAAACAAAAAGAAAAAAAATTCTTAACCGACCACCATCTAGTTAAAGAAACTCATTGCATTCCTTACTGATGATAATGTTTGAAGACAATCTTTGTGAAAATCTTTTTAAATTGTTATTGTAGTATGAGTACATTAGCAACAGTTTATATCGTTAGGTCACAGTCATTGTAAAGAACTACTCCAACCAGGATAAATAAATTAAAAATAAAAATAAAACATTTTCTATA